TCCCATATTTTCTGGACGCAGGTCTTCTACATGTCTCGGAAAAAAATCTGAAAAGTACCAACCGCGAGGTCAAGCAGGAGGAAGGGTACGCAAGAGCATTTTCTTCGCCTTCTGCGGTTTTGGCCTTGATTTCATCGCGTAAATGAGAAGGATTCAGCTTTTATTCGTTTCCGTGCCCCACCGTGAAGTCGATTTCATTGGTAGACACGGAGATATTACATAGTTGGCATGTGTGCTTGATGTTTGAAAAAAAAATCAACTAATCCGAAAAAAATGATTGGGGCAGGCGTCCAGCGAGGTTGACGAGCATCCTTGGAAGTGTTTTGCTGTATCCTTTCCCGATTATCAACGTATGTATGTAGCTAGACTAGTCAAGAACACAGATCATTAGGTACACACAGCGGCCGGCTGGTTGGCATACCTGGCTGTCGCGGGGTAGGCAGGCAAGCGATCGATCGGTATTGCAGTAGTACTATTGCTGGGGTGGTGGTGGTGACGATGACTGACCCCACTGCACAGCGCACGCACGTATGATATGGGTAGAGATTGTTGTGACAGGGGGGGAAGAAGAGAGTATTTGTGTGGGTGTTGTGGGTCGTGAGGATATGACAGCCCAACCGACCGTCTGCGCTCGGGGTTGCCACAAGAAAGCCGTACATGACACACACCGATGTGGTACAGGAGTAGTTCATACGGTCTACGCCCGTCGGACTAATTCTGCCACCAGAATGAAAGCACTTCGATAGTTCGAACAATATTGGGAATCCGCAGTTTGCCAACATTAGCCCGGCGGTGGGGAGGGGAGACTGCTGTACATAGGGCAGCAGTGGTTGTTGGCACAAGAATCTACAGAATGCGACACTACGGGCAGCTGCAACTTATCTTGCTGGGGCACCTAACTGCCCTTCAGTGTTGCTCCTACCTGTATATCTCCACCGCTTGCGCTATGTTACGCGCTGCTTCTGGTGCCGCCTTGTCCGGCGCTGCAGCCAGAGGGAAAACACACATTGCGCGTGTGCTCTTGCGCCCACTCCGCCATCCTTCCTCTCTTTCCGCTTGGGTTGGAGGAGCGGCCGAAATTGGGTGGTCTGGCTCTTCTTACCAACATATTTAGCATGAAGGAAGAAGTCACACGAGCTTGGCTGGCTGCATCCACTACAGCAGTACCCTTGCAGCTTGCAGCGCAGCGGTATCACAGCTGTAGTCTAACGCATTCCTGTACTCGGAGTACCGTATGTAGCTCCCGGACTACGCCTCCTGTGATTGGTCAATACCAACGGTCCCCCCGTGTAGTACCCTTTTTCGCCCCCGCGTATGCGTAACACTCGTAGACCTGCGCTTGCAATCTACTTCGTGTTCGAAGTACAGTAGTATGGCGTTAGATAACATGTCCCAGGCCGGAGAAAAAAATATTGGGAACCTGCCGCCCCATCCAAAGTAAAACAAGTTACCCATGACGAAAAAGTCACAAGATATCGCCTGTCTACATCCTGTGATGTCTGTGCCCGTTTTCAACTCTCTCACTGCGGTAGCCTGCATCAGCACACATTACGAACGTCACGTATTTATTCAATTGCGATCCTTCTTGTATTGCGATAGAAAACTGTAGAAGAGCACGGTGCACGTTTCTTTCGTCTCTCCGTGAGCAACATCAGCGATAGTCTACACCTAGAGAGTACACGTGTATCTGTGGAAAACTACACTACATACATACATGTAGGGACGACGGCTACATTGATTGGAAGTCTCGCGTACGGAGCCCTACGGACAAGAAACTACTGTAAAAGTGAACATTTAGGGTACATGTCGTATCTTGCACGTCCATGACAGGACAACAGAGCCGAACAGCCGTAGCCGATTATGCGCAAATCATCACCCACATCACACCGAACGCGTAGAGAGGATACCAAGGCGTGGGCGCGTTGGTGCGTCTTGTGATTCGTGCATGTAGTTCGCCGTTGCACCCCAAAGTTTTGCTCCAGGCGCGTGTGGAGCGACAACACACGAACGTGGCATATGTAATGTGCACTGGTATCATTTTCATCCAATATCTGCTTCGTACCAGCTCAGCTTCGGTACCAACCTTTGCAACGGTGGACACTGACAGACTCCTCCCGACGTGCACACCGGTCGGCCTACGAGGACGGCTAATCGAAACCTATCAACTAGTTTCCGTACGTGTAAAAGACGGCAAATCTTTTAAAGTCCCTAAGAACATGTTGCCCAATACCATGCACATAAATAAAACCGTGGTACAAGGTCAATTTGCGTTTCGCAACAACCCGACAACATCCACAACAAGGGAAATCGCAAAACAAACATGGCCCAACCGCGTGGGTGAAGACATGGAGGAGTTAAGCGAAAACACGACCCTCCTATTGATTCTACTGTAGATGTGGGCGAACGGTTAGCACTATTCCTCTTGCCCTACAGTTAACGCCTGCGATAAATAAACAAAGACGCAGATATTTTTGTGAACAATATGAAACATCGACTAAGAAACACACCTCAGCCACGGATCCTTACACTGACCTCGACGGTGGAGACGAAATATGAAACTGAACCTCGACCCCAAGTTGACTCTTCTTAAACGCGGGCAATAACTGTATGAAATCTCTACCATACGGGGAAACAAAGGCAATACATCAATGTGAAACACACATTGCGTTTTCGACATCCCCGTCCCTTTCTCAATCGGAGCTGATCCGACATGGGTGCCTCTCTTTCTGTTGTGGAGACGCTGGATCTCCGGTACACTGTTCTGCCTAAATACACACCAGCATGCGTCTAAATTCACACCAGTATATGTCTAGTTGGATATCATCTACAACGTAAACCACCATTGGAACAAGTTCCCACTCCCTACGCACGATTGAACTTACAAGCATTGGTATTCCCCGCGTCTTGCGCTCCTCCACCGTTACCATCGTGCGAACAAAAACAACTTGCCTCCAAACAACTAGTCCCAATTCCAACAGGCGGGCCAACGTACCACAATTACACAGAGGCAACGTGCCGTCCTCGATCCGGACACGCCAACGAATAGCATATACAGACACATTGGATGGGGTGCACCATCAATGCCGATGGCAACGTTTTGTACCGTGGAAATAGATCGTATTGTGCCTTCCGCATTTTCGAACATGTCCCCTACCATGTCGGGGGGAGGTTATCTAAAGTCTTCTTATTGCGGTAGCTTGGAGTACACTGCACCAACACCAATTCTGATACCAAGCCAGGAGACATCGCGATTCCTTGACACTACGAGTAGGAGTACACGCTCATGGCGTAGAATCCTCCGCACACTTGATCAGAGTCACCAGGGCACTCGTAGTTGCAGGCACTTGACTCTCCGTGCTCCAAGAGGTCGGTTGAACTGCCGCCGCAGAAGCACTGTTGGAGTAGATTAATGGCAGACAGACATGGGGACAATATGAAATGGAAAAAAATGGGTGGTGATAGTTTCTACATGCCAGCACGGTTCATTTCAAATTATACTTGCTGCGTCATCTCCAGCGACGATGTTTGCTATGGCTCTCGTAACTAGTACTGGTACTTTTTCTGTTGTTGGATGATACATCTGCACGGCGTCATTCTATTGTGGGAAGCGGACATGAGGGAGGTGGGAAAGTGGGGGCGGCGGCCTGCGAACCCGGGTGGTTTAATGGTCACCAGCATTTGAATCTTTGTCTGCGTCGTCTGCCAGGCAAGGCCGACAGTTTTGTTCACGGGCAGGGCACTAGACCTTAGCTTGCCAGACCACACGACAAAACATTTCGTCATGATCAGTAGAAACATCAACTTGACTCTTGGCCTTGGCCTGAACTCTTGGCCTGGTTGTATCACAAGGAACCACATCTCACCTCCCTCCCGTACTGCAACCCGAAGTACGTGTTTCCGGTGCACTCCGCCTCGCATATCTGCAAAACCAACCGATATTGAAGACACCACACCAGGGGGAAGAGCACAACATGTTGTGGACGTCGAGAAGGAACCTACCACTGCTGAGACTTACACACCAACGGCTCGATCAGCTAGGTAGGTGCGTGCTGCTTTCGAGCAGTCAGCAGAGAACTGGTCACGTTGTACGTTCGCATTGGACACAACAAGAGAGATTATTACACACATGGTAAAGCAACCAATCAGAAAAAAACAAGGACAACCCCTCCGCACCTCCATGGTCATGGAAGAACTGTCCGTCAGCGCGAGTTCCATGATGCGGGCGTCCGATTCGTCTTGGTAGCATCCCACGAACGATGATGTCGGAGCGTTCCCATCCGTGTATTGGTAGACGTTGGCGGCGTCGAATCCGCCGCACGTTTGGTCAGCGTCTCCTGCACACGCGTAGGTGCAGTCGGTGGACGCCCCGTGCAATGCGTAATCCACACCAGCCGAACCGCACCAGCACTGTGTGAGTTTGTTTCAGGTAGAGGCGACACAGACAGACGGATTGGATGCGGGTTTTCGGCCGAGAAGGCGTCTGCCAGAGGCAACTAACTCATCCCGTGTTTGGCAGTAGCGGAAGAAGGCTTGACCATACTGCCAGGCCGATGGGCAAAATGTCCCAAAAATGGTTTGGTCATTTTCGTTACCTTGAAGAATACCTGCTTGCGACCAGTACCTTTGGGAACGCGAAAATAAAGCGATTTGCAAATTCGACATCGGAGGTGTGTTCGTGCAAGTCAAAGACGGCCACGGAGTCGCTCTTCCAATTTCAAGCTCTTGACGCAGATCGTGTTCACCGCGCATCCCGCATGTGTTTTACTCGATTCGTCTAATGCTTCCAGGAAAACCTGTCTCAGAACAGTCTTCAGTGCTCGTTTATGCAGCACATGATTCTTGGCGTCGTCGTCGTCGTCGTCGTTGATAGCTTACCCACGTTGGCAACATTCTGGACCCCACTTAGACGTCTCTTGGTGTACAACATAACATGCCTTTTGGTAGACACGCAGACATGCGCAAACGTACGGAGGATTACCAAAAGAACGACTCGACCCTTGCGGACACTTTACCCTGGCATAGCAATGGTGTGAGCGTCTGCTTGACCTCGGTGCGCACATATTGAACGCCATGTGGACATATCGTAGGAAGGCGAAGATATGGCTTCACCCTATCCAAAACTTGTTCTGCGTGATAGGCGAAACGTTCGTCACAAAACGAACGCGCGTGAAACGTAAGTCAGGGTGGCATTCTATGCTATGACGCTAACTCACCTCTTGCCCGTACTGGGTGGCGAAGTAGGTGCTTCCAAGGCATGTAAGCCCGCACAGCTGATGTCAGAAGCACCTAACGACACATCAAGGCAGGGGGCGGAAGGGCATTGCGGTGGAAAAACAAGCAGGTGTGCATTTCAGCACCATGCAGAGGGAAAGACATTGGTCAACGGCATGGGTATTGGACAGGGTTCACGCAGCTCTCAACGACTGTTGAGGTCGATAACGTACAATGCAGGAGCGTAGACCCGGTCTTGGTAGACGCCCAGTACGTTGGTCGTATTGGGATAGTCACACAACAATGAGACACGCGGTAACCCGTACGGAGACTGGGTGGCCCCCGAAACATCAAACCCTACCCGAGGCCGGCGTTCTACGTGGCTAGTGGGGTGTTTTCCGTGAACGTACGGCGTTGTTGTCTGCGTAGGTGAGACATGTCGCCAGAAAATGCAAAACATCTAACGGTCGACAGGTACCACCTGTCCAGGTGGTACCTTTTGATATATCCTGGAGCAGTTCAGCAAGGACAATAGCTACCCTCGCCTACTTGGCATGACATCCTTACGCCAGCAAGGAGAGAGTTTCGAAGTTCCAGAACTTGACGTGATGGCCATCTCTTGAGGAAATCCCCACAACCATGCCCCTGTTTCGCTTTGTCCAACACCACCGTTGCAAGTATGTCAAAACGACTTTGTCACCTCGGTTGTCATGGAGTAGTCGGAAAGAGCTAGATCGTCCATGATACGGTCTTCTCGGTCGTCCCCGTAGCACCCAACTGCAAGAGAGCCTGTTACCGTGGGGCTAGGAGTGCGACCGTGGCCGGCAGGATGTATGCTCTCCCCGAAGGGGCTGGGAGTAGGCTCCAAAGTGGGGGTGGTAGTGGGGCTGGACGTGGGGTTGGGAGTAAGAAGCTCTTCAACGACAGCGGGGCTAGGCGTAGAAAGCGCTTCATATAGAGTGGCCAGTGGACAGCGGATCGGCAGGGGGGGGGGGGACGAAGTAAAAAAAACGCAGCCTTTTAGCAGCAAAAGAAGTTGCATGATGATCGTCACGGCTGAGACCAATTTCGGAGTTTTGTGTGTCTGCAGCCAAACCGTACTAGTCGAACCCGTCAACCTGCGAATCTTTCAAATGTTTTCATAGGAAGTCTCATTTATCAGACGATGGACACTACATAAGGACCTCAACGCCGGAATTTCTTGTCCAGGAAAAACATTTTCCACCGGGAAGGCTTCGACTCAAACCGTTCGTGAACAGACCGCCCTTCTTGCTGCTGGACGTGGTATACAAAGCATAGGTATGGTGACTAAACACGGTACCTTCACAGACGACGGCGCCCCTGCCGGAGGTTTCCCCCTCGGGGCAGTCGGTGCACGGAGACAACCCGTCGCTGCTGAAGGTGTTTTCTTCGCACACGTCTGTCGGGGTTGTGTTGTAGCGAGAGAGAGAAAAGGGGGGGGGGGGGGGCGTACTCATTTGTTGCTTGCCGTAGTCATTTGACCATTGACCACGCGTCCCTTTCGAGACGGAGCACCGTTCCTACACCTACTAGAGACACCACCAACATTTGGGAGCTCTTTAGGGGGGGGGGGGGGAAAAAAAAGGGGGGGAAAAAAAAAAAAAAGGGGGGGGGCGGGAAAAAAACGGAAAAAAATTGGCCCCGAACAAGGACCAAGCCTTTGAAAAGGGAAAGGTTTCCCCCCTTCCCCCCCCCCTTCCTGGGGGAAAAACAAATTTTTAACCCCCCCCCCCCCCCCCCCTTAACTTCCCTGTGGAACCCCCCCCCCCCCTCCAAGGGGGGAACCCCCCCCCCCCGGCCCGCGAAAAAACCCTCAAAAAAACCCCCCCGTTTTTTCCCCCACCCCCACCCCAAACCCGGGGGGAAGGGGGGGGAAAAAAACCCCCGAAAAGGCCCCCCTACCCCC